GTAATGGCTGATTATGACGCGGCAGTGAAAGCCGCTAGGAAGCTGTCTTGCTGATGTCTACACTACACTCAGTTGTTTGTGATGGTATGTCCTTGGCAAAGTATGGGCTTCAGTAACGTTTTCCGGTAAGTCCCCGTTCTCTCCCTCTTATCACTCTTCGTTCCGTAGGTCGTTGTGTGGCAGCAAAGCATCATTTCAAAAGGCTGGTCTAGTGCTATTGATGATTATGCGAAGTATCTCTAGACCCTAATTCATGAAGCAGGCTGGTATCAGCGTGATCAGGTCTCAGTCAATTTTTCATACTTTTATGCCACATCCTTGACTGAGTACCTCGCGGTTTCACTCGACTAGATGCAGTGACACCGAGGAATACTATCAACCGGTATGCGTTAGACGCGACTTAGCCAGCCTAAGCGGTTCGGCTTTTGCAAACATTCTAACTAGACATCAGTAGGCTTCTGACCAAAAACCAACAAGCGGATCTCCACATTTCTCACTGTGTTGCTACCGTATGTGAGAAATGCAGGAACTGGTAACAAAATATGGCCGAGCTTTTAATATCCTCATTACGAACTTATCAGGTCTCTGATCCATGCTATAAGACTGGTCTTATCCCAGCGTTATACACCCTACCTTTCACTGATAGGCTAATATCTGACCGTCTCAATATATGGTTGAGCCTCTGAAATACCACACGGGCCTACTTGATACTCGAAGTAATTTTCCCAGTAATATGATTACCGGAGACGACACAGCTAGCTAGGGATTTAAACCGATTCATCACTCCCATTGGCTGTTCGCTGATGGCTAAAACTGATCCATCCATGCAACACTAGTTTACACTTTACAAATGCAAAACACATGCTAAGGCGTACAATGCTATGCGCCACTGCATCAAACCGAAGGAGTGCTATATCGTCTGCATACTCAAAGTTCGCCTGTCGGTCATCTTGCAGGCTTTCCCCTCTGGAAGTGGCCGAGAGAAGTGAGTCATTTCATGATTTCTATCACAAAGTCGAAGAGAAAAGGAGATCTAGGACAACCGTGTGGTACTCCAAATCTCGTCGGGATCTCATGAGGCAGTTTTCTGTGGACTCTTACCCTTTCTCTGGAGTCAGGATGGAAACCAGTTTTGTGGGTACTGCGTTCACAGATTGACAGTGCCACAACCTGGTCCGATCAACAGAGTCTAAGATATCGTTCAGTTCTGGGAAAATCACCATAATCGTTCGTCTGTAGGTGTTTCCCTGCTCTAGAATTTGACTAATAGTAAATCTGTGATTGATGCAGCCATGACAAGATCGAAGGCTTATTTAACGTTCAGTTAATCGGTTCCCATGGGGATCAGTAATTCGTCGTAGTATGGTACGCATGTGAAGGCAGTGGAAAAAGGGCTAATATCTCGATGATCTTCGCACAAAGTCCTTGGACTGTATTTGCATTGTGGATGATAATTGACAGTCACCAGTCTGTTAGAACCTGCGGAGGTCTGGAGGTTCTTTTTCATCGAAGAGCGATTGGTCCAGTTAACGTGAACAATGTGGCTCTAAAACTTTTTAATAGTAACATTTAATGAAAACGGCCGGAATAGTACAACGGGATGAAGAAACATGTAAAAGCTATAAAACTAATCAGGTACATTCATTAGATAGGCCAGTTAATTGGTCGGTCGGTACTCGAACGTTTCAAGCCTCTTCTTTATACTTCAGCGTTCGCCGATTTGATCCTACATAGGTGTTGACCATCTCGCGATATCCCGAGCTCTCACGTGACTGGTGGTGATGGTGTGGCAACGAAGCGTGAATACAAGATATTCGCGTATTGCTGGTCTTCTATTGAGTATACTACGAAAATGTCATTTGTTCTGCGATTGCAACATATCAGAACAGATCGCGCTTTTCTGTAAGATGACGTGCGCCATCCCTACCCGCCTTTTCAATGTCGCTTATTGCACTTTCGCCATATCATCTGTTCATCACACTAGGGTTTCGCCTAACCCAAGCATTGTATTGGCAGACAATACTAGCCTAAACATACAGTCGATTGGCATTCACGAAAAGCGACCTAACTTACACGGTTCGGGCGAAGTGGAGGATCTAGAGAAGTACTGAGGGTCAAGGAATATCGGGTCACGACGGAGGAATCATTTTGCAGCAGCCCTTGTGTGAATGCATTTCGACGCTCAATCTCAATCGGAACCACGACTCACTCTTTTCAGACACTGCGACGACATTTGAGGTAGAAGGGTATTGGATGTTACGCGCTCGCAACAAGAGACGACGTTTCATGATTGTCTGATCAGATGTTAATGTGTTGAACTACCTTTGCGTTCTCTGACTTCATCGATCATGCTTAGCTGTGCCTACCAGTTAGTTTTTTATGAAGTTATCAACACTTCATATGCTATTGCTCTTTATTAGAGCATTTTCCCCCTAGCTCAACCCATGCGTCACTTTAGGATAACCTGCGTTTTGCTATGGAAGCTATCAGACGCGCACATTGTATCCTGCGCTCTACCTAAGTATGGGACTTATTGACCACTCGTTACGTACGGGTGGTGTGCAAAACGAAACCGAACTTTTGTACTAGCGCGCCAACCAGCGGCTACCGAACGCATATGGTGGCCTGCATAGACACCAAACAGCCATTTGCCGCATTTCGCTCTGACTGTTGTTTAGGGAGCTAAGACCACTGAAGTGAGCACGTGCACAAGTTGTTCGTCGGATTAGTGCCAATGAAAGAGCTTGAGGAACAACTCGTGTGTGTGCAATTTTGCTATGAACTTGGCAAAACTTTTACAGGGACATTTCAGATGCCTAGTCAAGCATACGGGGAGGACTGTATGAGTCCCACACAGTGCTATGAGTGGTTTAAGTGTTTTGGACACGGTGGAATGTCGGTCCGTGACGATCCCAAGCCTGGACAACGTTCCACATCAACTGACGATGACCATACAGCGAGAGTTCTTGTTGTGATCCGTGGAAATCCCCGTTTAAATGTTCGACAAATTGCTGACGAAGTAGACATTGGCTTTGGATCATGCCACAAAATTCTAGCGCATTTAAGGGATACTGTGCGTAGAAAAAGGCCTGAACTGTGCGAAAGCCAGACTTGGATGTCGCATGATGACAATGTGCCTGCTCACATATCGCTCCTTGTCCGCAGCTATCTAGCAAAATATCATACTCCTGTCGTGCCCCATCCACCGGATGCTCCACACATAGCCCCTGCAGACTTCTTTTTTCCAAACTTAAAACCACGTTGAAAAGACGTTTCCGAACCATGGAGGAGGTTCAGGTGCCATCAGAGAAAGTGCACTCCGGGAGGCTTTACAAAATGGATGCACTGTCAATAAATAAATAAACAAATATTCTATTCTCGACTATGCGAAGCACGCCCATGGGACTACTTTGAGATAAAAAGTGCTTAAAATGTTGTACAGTGAACAGTAAAGATGTTGTAGCAAAAGTTCGGTCTCTTTTTGAACACCTCATTCGTATCTTTTCACTTCACTACAGATGTGTATGACATTTTCAATCGTTATGGGTGCACTCTTTTCATTCTTTTATCCGATCTCTTTTTTATCTGTTCCCTGACATTTAATACTAACACTGATGATGACAGTTATAATGATTAGACCGATTCGCACCAAGATTGCTTGATTCCTTGCGTCTTGTATTGACCGCAGTTGACCAACTACACTGATACAACAGCTCCGACTATGGAAATCGAATGAGCCGTCGCTTCCTCGTCTTACTATGATAACCGAGTTTCAGCTCCGTGCATATACTGCGTTTTTATGATCATTTATTATTCGAGAAATTTTAAGTGTTATGTTTTGAGGACAAGCGTACATGGTCGTAGCCGTTCTAAGATTGCGATGTTCGAGGCACTCGTGAGTTACGCATAGTTTACCTGGTTTCTTCACTGCTGCTCTGATGTGACAGCGGACAAGGGAATCGATTTTCCGTGATTTGTCAGAGAGGTGGTACCCAATCATCTGCAATGAGCAGTATTCACTTTTCAATTTCCATGCTTTCTGGTTTTTCATTCCCAGCGTTTACGCTGGTGTGCGACAGATGTATGCTGGGTTGCTATTACATAAAAATTAAAAAAATGTTTTCAGGGTGCTTCAGTGTGCGAAATACGCCTGACCTCATTATTAAAGCCGAGTATTTGAACCGCTGGCCGCCCCATAAGGTAGGCTGTTTAGAAATCGCCACTGTTTGTGAATTGCTTGACATCATATTAAGACAACCGTGGTTTGTCCTCTTGAGATCCATATTTTGAGCTCTCCTTATTATGCTTGGTTCTATTTTTATTCTTCTGTCTATTTGAGTGTTATTGTCTGCACACCTGGCTTGCAATCATAAGGCCACCGGTTTGAATCCGCATAGGGGCGGGCTGCTCGTGGTATACTCAGCCCACCTGCGACTGGTCGTAGTCTCGCGGCAGCGCAGCGCCGTTACAGCCTATAGCTGACACACCGCAGCTGTTTTTCTCTTTACGCTTCTGAGCTACATTTGAAGCACTACCTATCCCACAAATGACCTTAGTACATAATAATTTCGAGAGCGAAAGTTTAATCACGAGCGAATACTTTTTGAATGTCGCTTTTCACTCCTGTAACATGATAAAAATGTTCCCATTGTTCCGTTCCTAGCATGAATATTCACACGGTTTGCCATCACATTGCTTTTCTCTCTCAAACTTGCGCGCTAGCCGACACTTCATACATCCTGTAATTTGTCCCATTCAACACAGCAGTCCAGCGCATTAACCATTCCTCATCCACATGGTTATGTAGTCACTACTCGCAGAAGTGCTCATGACTTCGCTGAAACACGATGGTTCGTCGATTTGTCATACTGTTCCTCATTCGGTCCATCTGATACTGCCACACAACTGCGAGTGCTACTCGCTGTTCTACTTCTCCACGTCATTTTGTATATCTTCCATGTGTTCAATTTGCTCCTCATATCATTTTTTCTCACTTTCAGGTTACCTCCAAGTATGATTTGGATATGAACCCTTTCAACCGCGGTTGCTGCGTCAACTGGTTGCATGTGTTTTGCAAAGCTGAAGGACCAGTGTAAGTTGTATCTTGTCCCCCCTTCACAACTTATATTGACAGTCTGATCAGGCCGACAACAAATGTGGATGCATTATTACGAAGGAATATGAACAATCAGGGCGAATTGGTTCCCACCTACACGGAAACATCGCCTAATCTAGATTTTGGCTTTACTTCCAATGTGAGTAGTCTGTCACTCTCATGATACAAATTTCATTTTTGTGCTTAAACCATTTATCACCTCTTATATCACATGCAACCACACAGTACAACAACTTTCTGCTGAAAGAGTTTCCCCAACATAAATTGTATCTAGTGTCTTTGAGGTCCTATTTTGGAAGCAGGGTGAAACCACCCTACTATTGGAGGGTCAATTTTGCAATGCACGTTGTGTGACTGGATTGCGACGCGTAATCTCAAAGTGGACCGCGGATCACAATGAAGTGAACCTTAGTCACTGCGATCACTGGGACCGTAGTCAAAGCAGATAGAAATGGGATGCTGCCCGCCCGAATACACTGCACAACCACGACGCGTTTCGATGTCATTTCATCTCATCAGGTGGAGATAGCAGGCCTCGAACCCGCTATCTTCACCTGATGAGATGAAATGACATCGAAAAGCGTCGTGGCTGTGCAGTGTTTTCGGGTGGGCAATACCCAATTTCCATCTACTTTGAATACGGTCCCAGTGATCGCAGTGACTAAGGTTCACTTCAATGTGATCCGCGGTCCACTTTGAGATTGCGCGTCGCAATCCAATCACACAACGTGTATTGCAAAATTGACCCTCCAATTTGTTCAGTTACCGTTGTGCCAAGCGTTGCCCGCCGTGACCCGTTAGCTAAAGGGGTAGAGGTTTCGCCTACTATTCCAATGGTCGCGGGTTCGAGGCCTGATATCTCCACCTGATGAGATGAAATGACATCGAAACGCGTCGTGGTTGTGCAGTGTATTCGGGCGGACAGCATCCCATTTCTATCCACCCTACTATTATTCATCCGTGTCCATATGGCATCTGGCTGCGCATACAGGCACCATGCTTGTCATTGTCTAGTAGGACTCTTTATCTTCCATACATTTGCTTCATAGACACCTGAGATCTCAACATCGATTTTGACAGTGCTATGCACTTTCGCGTCGCTTGTTTTATGACAACACGTAACTTTGGTACCTGACATTCGTTGTCCATGGGATTTGTCCTAGCCCTACTGGTTTACCGTTTAATCCTCTACTTTGTTCCGTCGGTGGCACGCTGTACCGGCCTGTTGAAGCCGTGCAGCAACAGCAGGATCAGCTCTGTGACTACTTGCAATTGGTTCGTTACTATCTACGGTTTTCACAGCTAACTGTAAGTTTTGATGTCCCATCAAGACTCGTGTCCTGCAATGTACTGTATTATGTAGTGTCAGTCTCAACCCTCCCATAATTTGAAGCGATTTAAGCAGACCCTCCATTTGACTGCTTTCGTGTCACCAATCTGGTTCCATCCGATGGAGACGACAGAGTTGGCTGTCAGTTATGACGTTGGACAGTGATCACTGCTCTGCCGACCCCACTATTTCCACTGACTTTGACTAAGATATTCATTGAAGAGTAGGTAAGCGAGTAGGTTAGCGGCACATCAAAATATTCGAATAAAAGTTCGATTACCGAAGAGATCACTTTTCAATAGTTCTCATCAGGCCATTATATTTATTAGAAAGAAACATGGAATGCAGTATGCCGATGAAAGCTAGATTGTGGACTGCTACTGTTTGCAAGAGACTGGTAAATTGGATCGATAATTAGGTCGATTCACTGGAGGTAGGTTTCGAAGCTGGCGTTATGCTGCCAGTGTCCCACATTGGTGACTTGCTGTGGGGCTAAGGCAATAAGAGTGTTCATACGAGTACTTTCTGCTTTCACTACTTGGGTTAGATCAGCATAATAGCCATCGCTTTAGCTGTCTTCTATCGACGTTTTCTGGGCCCTTTAGGATGACTTAACGGCACGGAACAGAAAACGCTGAACGTGTCTTCTGTGCGCATCTCGTGTCCGCTTAGGAGCAAAGGCTTCATGATAGCACCATTGATGCTTCTAAGAACAAGACTGGATCTTAACGTGTTGCCACGGTTTGCTTACCTCTTTGACTCATTGAGCTATACTGGTTGATGCCCCTAGGCCCACGTAAGCTACTCCTACCAGATTGGTCAATAGTTAGGGGTCAGACAAACGCAGTCTCCTGATCCTCCAAGTTGGGAGTTTGAAATAAAAGATGGCTTCATTTCTGTAAACCCAAATCATTGCCACCTCCCCGCTGCCTTGCGGACAGGCTATCGATCCAAAAGGTTTGGTTCCGGACCTTAATCGTCCTGTTTTCTATGTCGGCGCCCTGGCAGTATCCCAGTCCATATATAACCAAGACTTTTTCTTCAAACATAAACTTCCTCCTGCATCTTCCGTCTCGCATATTATCAAGGGTCGCCTTATCTGCTGCATACAGCAGGGCGGATAAGGGAAAACATGATACTACTGGCGCCTCCCTTCTTTCTTTTCCACCTGTTTTACTTACTTCACTCCCCACTTCCATTACCAGCCTTCTTTCTATAACTCCCTGCTTAATTGTCAGCTGCCGTAATGTCACTGGAGTCGAATCATCTGTAGTTGCCTTCCCGCACCACCCACTGAACATCTATCGGCAACAGTCCCTTATAAGGCCACACTGTCCCGTTTCTCTGCCGGCGTTCAGCGTTTGCACTCTAAGGTAACTTGGTCAGCGGGCTGCACTCGCACGCACATTGGCCACACTGGGTATTGACGTATGTTGTGTGTCCGAAACTAGGATCAATGACCCTCATGAGTTGTTGAATTAATTGCGCCCGACTTGTCCCCTCACTACCCTTGCACGCATCCGGAGACTGATGAGGCAATCACTAGTCAAGCTGGGATGGGCATCGTTCTCAGTTCCAAGGTAGAGTCATCGTTGGTTGACTGGATTCCGATGAACAGCCGTTTGTGTGCAGACCGTGGGATGACATCATCATCATCATCAATACACGTTGGCTGAGGGTGGGGAACACTAATGTACCGCAATACAAAAGATAAGAGACGAACAAAATGCACTACAAAATGATTCCAAGTAAGTTATATGGTGTTACATATTATATTGTGCGTTTCGTATGAGATCGGGATTGCATCGGCAATTTAAAGAAGAGGGGGTGGACAAAGAAACTCACAACACAATCGCCATTGGGGCCGGCTCTTCGCCATATCAGCAAGTGTGTCCAACCAAACGTGTTCATCGTCCCTAGGACCCCAACCAGACAGTCGGGATGCACCAAGCGACGCCAGCTTCGAAGTGAGAGTTTTCATTGCTCTCCACCAAGTGGTCGCTTGGGCCACCTCCTCCTCTTCCAACCGCACCTCAGGCGCGCAAACAATGCACGTCGCGGGAGTCGGTGGGCTGGCATGCTCAACACGTGGTCAAGCCATCGAAGCCTAGTGTGTGATATAATGTTGCTGAGCGCTTCACTCGCTTTTCCTGCATCAAATACGCGACGCCGAACACGCTCATTGCTCACGCGATGCTCCCACCAGACATAAGCTAAGCTGCTAAGGCAGTAATAGTCAAACGTGACGAGCCTCTTTATGTCTGTCGACCTGATGGGCCAACTTTCCCAACCGTGCAAGATTGTTGAACGGACGGCTGCATTATAAACTCTGCCCTTCAGGACGAGAGTGATGTCGCGTCTGCGCCACAGGCAGCAAAAATTGGCAAAAGCATCTCGAGCTTTTGCTATACGGTTCATAGCTTCATCTACAATGGGCGCTAATATAGCTGCCCAGGTACTTGAATTTCTGAAGGACATCTAACTGATCACCACAAAGCGTCGGCGCAGAGGTGGATCTTTGCCAATCTTGGAGAAGGACTTTGCATCTCGATGGAGCAATGCATAGCCCAAAACGATTGACAGCCAGTGCTAATTGATCCAGTGCTGCTTGGCACGTTTGGAAGCTGTCACAGATGAGGGTAATATCGTCGCTCACAGGAAGTAGCTCCACATCTTCTAGGTCGTGTCATGCGAACGCTGTTTCCATGACTTCATCAATACCGAAGTTAAAAAGGAAAGGTGACAGCGGGTAACCTTGTCCCACATCGCTGATGATACTGAAGGGCGGCGACAGTTTACTATAAACCCTCAGTCTGCCCGAAATATACGCGTACAGTGCTTGGATAATGTTTACGTATTTTTCGGACACACTTTTCCTCAACAAAGAGCCCAAAAGGGCACATTGATCCAACAAATCGAAGGCCTCTTTGATGTCGAGAAACACGATAACGGTGCGTCGCCAATAAACACGGCGGTGCTTCAACAATTGATGCAAAGTGAAGATGTGATCGATGCAGCCCCGACCTCAACGCAACCCGACTTGCTGTTCACAGACGTGGTTTTCACGAGTGCCAGCCAGTCTGTCGAGAACGACAGGCGTAAACAATTTAGAGGCAATTGAAATTAGCCTGATCCCTCTATGATTGCCGCATTCCGAACAGGAGCCTTCCTTAAAATTTGGGGTTGTGACGGAGCGCCTCCAGTCTGTCGGGACAGTTTCCTGCTCCCAAAGTTTCTCTAGCAACTCGTGTAAATCATCTACTAGAGCAGGTGCCCCGCATTTGAAGAGGGCTGGGAGAATTCTATCTGCCCCTGCGGCCTTATGCAATTTCCACAGCCTGAACTCACGTTCGACTTCTGCGCATGAGGGCGGATCCAAGGATACGGACCAAGGAGAAGGGCGCTCAATGCCCGAAAAACAAGGCGATAACTCAGTTTGGTTGAATTGCATTGCAGTGTTCGGCCCAATGCTCCAAGCGTTTTGACAGGCTGTGCATCGGCTGTCCACTCTGGTCGCGTATCGTCTCGCTAACACCAGGTCTGCTGCTGTCTGTTTCCCCTATCAGACGGAATAACTTACGATGATTACCAGCGGCAGCGGCTGTTTCCATTTCCGGTGCACGATGAGACTACCAGACTTCGCGGCCTCTTCAGACTAGCACGCAGTTTTGTCCTGAAGTTTTTGCGAGTCTCATTGTATTCGCTTCCATCCGAAATAAGTCGGCGAGCATCCATAATTTCCGGAGACTTTGTAAAGACCCATTGTCTAGGTTAGCAATTTGATTTGCCACTTGAGGGCATGCCTGCTG